GAGTTGGTTTGGTCCTTGTGCAGTCAAACCCAATGGATGAAAATTTCATGTGCCAATTTACTCGACTAGGAATTTAATTTGGAGAGCAAACTAAAATTTGTGGAAGATAAATTTTATAATAAAAAATTATGTGTTTGGAGCCCAAGTCTGGCACCTATTAAAGGAAGGTCATTATTCATTGTTGAAATCATTCTAAACTCATAGCAAAATACATTAGAAGAGTAGAGAGTTAGTAGAGCAATTCTCTTAGACGTATTTGGGATATCTCTCCTTTATTTGTTAAAATATTCAAGTAGTTGTGCTCTGGGGTACGTAGGTCATTCTAATCCAAACCACATTAAATATTGTTGTTCTTTCTTGTTCTTTATTTTCACATTTCCGCTAACAAAATCAACTCCCAATTTAATATAAATTAACTCATAAATGAGGATCGGACTAAAATTTATACTCATCTCGATTGATTGTCCATCTAATTTTTTAATTGTTTTAATTAATATAAAATTTTCTATCATTATCCAAATGTCTTGTTCATTTCCTCTATTTTTAATCTCTTATTCTTAATTAGGATATCAGGGACTTAAACTTGAAATGAACTTACATGTTCATATTCTTTTAATTTGTATTATTATCATGATGGGGTTGAGATGGGATAGAAGAAAAGATTATATTTATTATTTTATTTTGAATTTTGGGTATACTCAAGAAAAATGTGTTATACGTACATAGTTTCTTAATTAAATCATCTTTTGTTGAACTAATTGTTTCTATATGTATGTCATCATTATTTTCCTCTTTTTTCTCCCTTGGTTTGGCCTAAGTTGGAAAATAAATTAAAATTTGAAATAGTGGACAAGATCCAAAAAGGAAAAAGGTGGAAGACACAAGAAGTGAAGGGGTGGGGTGGGGTGGGGGGGGGTTGTAGATAGTAGAGGATTAATCTTTTTTAATTTTTAATTTAATATGAAATCCAAATTCGGGCCAATCATATAAGCCCACATATAACCAAATTATTTTAACGAAAAATGACCTAAAATGCTCTTAAACTATGAGATTTGGTAAAATATTGCTCTTTATCCACTTTAGGAGTATGAACCGTTAGATATAAGAGTATTTTTTACCCAAAAGGTTGACATTAAGGGTATATGACGGCCAAAAGGTAGATGAAGGGTAGTTCTATACCAATTCAAATAGTTGAGGGGCATCCTTCTCCATATTTAAAATACAATTCCCCAACTTAATTTTTTTTCTCCTTTGCGCCGAAGTAGACGCTGCCCATGGAGAGCCTTTTCCTTTGTGAACATGCCCATAAGACACGAAAAAAAAGTCAAAAATTATGCTTCAAGACGCCTTACTATAAAGAAGCATCGGCCCATCGATGTCTTACACGTCTTCTTCGACACTGCGGAAGCAACTTTCTTTCTTTAGGTAGTGAAGTCACTCTGATTTGTGTATGACTTGTTGCTCTAAAGTCTGTATCTTGCCCTAGTTACTTAACCTCCGAATACTTAATTTAAAACTAGAAGACATATCTTTTGGTATATCTCCATTTTATAAACTCATCTTTTTTGTTTCATAAGACCTTATCAAAGCTTATCATTTCCATTCTATAGTAGAAGTCCTAAAATGCTTTTATCATTATTGTACTATTAGATGTATAGTTTGACTAGATGAAGAAGACTGCTAAAATTTGTGTTTCTGTGAGTTTGAATTATTATTATTATTTGGATAAAATGAATAAATAAAGAACATTAAGGAAAATGACTATGGATAGGCCCAAAAGTACCCGGCCCATGAAAACAAAACAAAATAAAGATGAGCAACTTTCATCACATATAACAAACATAAAAATCATATTTGTATGTTATAACTATAATTTGCATAATTAGGCTTCATAACAAATTTTATGTTTGCTATGGAGCTTTTGATTTGTATAATTCGCTACAAACATCCAATTTTATACAAATTGTTCAGTTTTGTATAAATTCATTTATACATTGTAATTTGTATAATAAGATCTGTATTTGTATAATTATAAGTGTATAGAACGAAAATATATGTATTTGTATATACACTTTTCTCTCGCTTTATACAAACAAAAACGCATTTTATACCGAAATGTATAAAATGGCTAATTGTATACCGAAATGGCTAATTGTATACCGAAATGACTAATTGTATATCGAACCAGATGGCAAAAAAAGGGGATATTTGCTGCGAATTACAATTAAAATAAACTAAGACAATTGCATTTAATTTGAATTAATAATTTGTTATTTAATACAATTTTCTCAATAAAGATCTAATTTTGAATTTTTGACCCAAGACTCTCTGTAGACTGTAATAAAGGACAGATCATGTATCTTAAAATTGACTTTCATTCTCTCTTTTTTTGAGAAGAAAATACAAACAAAAGAACAACTTGTACGTATAAACATATTTATAAGTATCTTTAATACAAAATATAGTCATAAATCTAATAAGACGATAAAGACCGATCGATATCATATCTAGCGGATCAAATCTGTTGTAAAAATCAGGTAAAGTATTTTTCGGTCAAATACTTAATGTATTAGTGATTATGGGAGTGAAAAATTTGATGTTAAACTCCAATCCTTTTTTTAAAAAAAAAAAAAATTAAGAAAGAAAACAAGTAATCGAACTCTATATATGCATGATAATTTAAAATTATAAAATTAAAATATATTTATACATTTGACATGTGAAATGTATATACTTTTACGCAACAAGTATTTGTCAGGATATATTTTTAATTTGTCAGTAAATGTACGTAAGAAAAAAAAAAGGTGTTCTATATGCCAAGCATCGTTATATGACACACATGTGGGACTTTAATGACATTGATACAATTTTGAGCTTCAACTCAACTTTTTTATATATATAAATATTTTAAGTTGTTAATTATTATAATTTGTATTTTTTTTAAAAAAAATTTCTTATTACTATTGTTTTGTGGACTGAACAAAAGTTAAAAATAAAACTTACCCAATTCACATTTTAGTAGTAATTGTGATAATTTCTGCTTCTATATATGTTGTGAAATATTCCATCTTTGGAATTGGGGTATTATAAACAGGACACTGATGATGAAACATTGGACAACCCAAATAGAGTTTGAGTTAGTTTATGATAAACATTAATTCGTTTTAGATCGAAATTTGAAGGTAGATTTCTAAAAAAAAATAAAAAATAATATATATATATATATATATATATATATATATATATCCAAACTTCTACTAATTAAACCAATCCGCCATTGACTCAAATACGTTTTGCAATTCGAAAAATATGTTATTAATAGCGCTCAAATTCGGAGAAGTTTAGGAGAGAAGACGTGATAAGATTCTTTAATAAAATTAATTTTATTTTATTTTTTGTTACAATTAAATTACTGCAATTTAAAAATTTGTTGTAAACAAATATATTTAGGATAAGTTGAACGATAAGTTCTAAACGGGCTAGATAGAAATCAATTATCATCCTTCACCTAGTTACCTCTTCTTCATTTCAATTTCCTTGTTTTTTCCCCTTTTAACTCTTTAAATTTATTTATACAGGAATATTTATGTATTGTTATTTCTTCAAAATAAAATAAAAATTAGCTAAACAAGTTTTTCACGTTTTGTTAACGAGTGTATCACATTAATTATGTCATGTCTACATAAAGTGTTAAATAACACATCAAAAACTTATTACGGATATTTAAAATATACAAGTACTCACGTGTTGTTAATGAGTGTATCACATTAATTATGTTATGTTAACATAAAGTGTTAAATGACACATCAAAAACTTATTATGAATATTTAAAATATACAAGTTTAATTTTAAGTGTTTATGTATAAAGACGTGACAACTTTAGGTGTCTGCTGAAAGGTTTCATCAAAAATAAAATAAAAAATATGATAAATCATAAAATTTAGCAAAATAAAATATTTAAGAAGCATTTAAATAAATCACGAACAAATTTTTTTGTTTGATTTTCAAAATCCGAGCTAGTCATAAATTAAAGACGGAGGGGATAAAAATTAAGCATCAATAATTTTTAAAATTTAATTTAAGATTTTGACTTGTATTTATTATTTTAACTTAAAATCAAGTATTTAAAAATATTTTATTTATTTATTTAAATATTTTAAAATTGTTTTAACTTAAAAAAAAATTAAAATAAATCAATTCAGGCTCTTACTAATTCGCAATCTAGAGGTCTTTTTTATGTGAAAGTGAATTCTCTAGAAGTGAAAGTGATGACTCATTACACAGCATTGATCTCTTGGAAAATGACACCACTAGATTTTTTTCCATCCTCTTTGACTTAATACACATGTCCTTTCTATCAGGAGTAATATTTAATTTAAGAAGAATTAATTTATATACTTGTCCATACAAGAGTAAATTAAAAATAACTTATAAATATATAACATACACTTTCTTCATCTCAATAGTAAATATATCAAATGTATCAAAATGTCTTTTAATTTTGTGACATTAAACACGGCAAATGTAAAGTTTGAATTAAAAGTGTTGCCTTAAAAAGAAAATGCTCGTTCAATTTAAAATAGACTAAAAAAGAGTAGATCATCTCGTTTTAAATGAAGAAAATAATTCATTTGTCCAACAACAATTGTCCATTATATTATTTTGATATATCCAACAATACTTATCCACTTGATTAAATCAATTTATAATTTTACACTTAATTCCTAATTTACCTTTATCATTAATTATAATTAGTTTCCTCTTACATTTTTCAAGACTTTGTATTTATTTTATTCAAAAGTGATATAATAAAATTATTCTTCTATTTATAATTTTTTAAGAAATGTACAAAATCAATAACTGACAAGTATAATTAGACAGCAGAAGTATATATTATGAATATATAATTTAAGTATACCAACTAAAAAAAATAAATGATAAATAATTTAAGTATACGAACTAAAGATCTCATTATTAAATTTGGGAAGTCCCACTTATCAAAACATATTTATTTAACAAAAACAAAGTGCAAGTTGTTGTAAAACACCAAAATCATTATTACTAGCATAACATAGCTCTAGTAGTACATAATAATAATAATAATAATTAATTAAAACAATATAATCATTATACTAAGCCTTTTTGCAAGGGGGTAATGGTGAACCACAAAGACCTTTATTTCCAGCAAATGAATTAGCCTTAAACTTTGTTGGTGGAAGCTGACCACTCAAATGATTACTACTCAAATTCAACTTGTTTAGTCCACTAATTTCCTTTGGAACTTTCCCATAAACCATATTTCTAGACAAATCCAACTCCTTAAGTGTCTTAACAATCTTCATTTTCTCCAAATCAAACTTCAATTTATTCCCAGCAGCATAAAATCCTATTAACAAATCTGTCTTATTCAACAGCCCAATCGGACTTCCAGTAATCTCATTATCCGATAGATCAATATAGTCGTAGAAATACGTTGTTTTCGGGTTCCAATCATCCAATTTAATCTTGATCCCGCATTTTGCTAGCTTCAATGAGTATATAATCGGAGATGAAGTCACCCAACTTGGTATCGTATTTAAATGGAAATTATTATACGATAGATCTAGAGATTCAATGCCTTTTACAAACAATATTGGAAATGGATCCACAAGAAGATTATGAGATAGATCGAGATTAAAGATTTTGGTAAGATTCGCAAAAGTTTTTGGCACTGTTCCCGAGAATCTGTTATAAGAAAGATCTAATGTGTCTAGGGCACGAAATTTTCCGAGAAAATCCGGGATTTTCCCGGATAAATAATTGTGCCCTACCTCAAGGAACCTTAAAATTGGTGCCAAAGCAGTTATACTACTTGGAATATTGCCAGTAAATTTGTTGTGAGAAAGTGCTAATATTCTGAGATTAGATAAGGAATTGAAAAAATTTGGTATCGAACCACTGAGTTGATTTTTTTCTAAGCTCAAATAAGATAAGCTTTTGAGTTTGTTGAATGTATTGGGAATTGTGCCAGTGAGCAGGTTATCGCCGAGTTTGAGCTGACTCAACTGAGTTAACTGCCCGATAGAACTTGGTATCGGGCCGGTTAACTTGTTACCCAAGAAACTAAGTGCAAAAAGTTGGGTCAAGTTACCAATTTTGGGTGGTATTTGACCCGATAACTTGTTGTTTTCGAGGTAAACTATTTGAATATTAGGAAAAGAAAGGAGGAAATTCGGTGTACCTGCTAAGTTTTTGAGATTCGTAAGAGAAATACTGGTTAGCATTTTTAGTTTGGAGAGAGATGGTGAGATGGTACCCGATAAGATTTGTTTTTTATCGGGTTGTCCACCAATTGATAGACCGGTGACCCGATTGTTATCCCCACAAGATATACCTGACCATTTACAACAATCGGTACCCGCTTTCCAGCTTGATAGAAGACCTGACGGGTCAGATTTGATACCCGATTTGAAACCTAACAACCCAGTCTCATCATCCACATGGCAGTTTGCGAGGCAATGTTGTTGGAGGGTGAGGAGGATAGAGAGGAAAAAGAAGAGAGGGATAGGAAATTGAGAGAAAGAGAGCATTGTTGAAATTTGTAGTTGTAGTTTTGTTTGTGTTTGGTTAAAGTTGGAAGGTGTTTTATAGAGTAGAAAATTGGATATTGAGTAGCAATACTTTATAATATCTTGTGAAGATGGAAACTTAGATATTACTACTCTTTTTTGTTAGAGCTTGACATGTGTATGAGCTTTGACCTTTTCAACGTTCAAACTTGGGTTCTTTGAGTGGACATAAATGAACTTTAAAAAAGAGTATTGGAAATAGAAGCATTATTATTATTATTTTCATCTGATTGATTTTGTTCGGTAAACATTTTGTGTGCATCAGATAAAATTTTACTGTGCAATAGTCTATAAATTATATTTAAAATATAATTGTATTAAGTAAATTCTATGTAACAGACTCTACCCTGAAAAAATGGAGGGAAAATTAATTTCGAATAAAGATTTTAACTCGTTCCACTTATCTTGTCAATTTTTTTTATTTGTATTTTCAAATTATCCCTTCTGGCGCCGATTGTAGACTTCATTGCTTGCGTCACTAAGTTTCTAGTAAAAAATTTAATTGTACGTTACGCACCAATAAATATGCAATACATATCTTTATATATATATATCCTTATAATAAGTCGTAATTAAAATTTACAAATACTTTTATTCTAATTTATAACCTAAATTACTGTAAATTAATAAAATTTAGTATAAACACTAGATGCGGATAAATTTTATTCGGTTTGTATCCCTTTCTCTACGGATATTTATTGTTTAATACCATCCGACCATCTACTTTGTCAAATTTGGCCCCTGCTTCCTCTTTCTTATCAATTTAGTACTCCCTATGTCCCTAATTACTTGTTCACTTTTAAATTAGTACACCTATTAAGAAAACAATAATTGTCATAGTGAGTTTACCATTTTATCCTTATTAATTATAAAGTGGATGAATTAAAAACTTAGGATTTTCAAGAAATTCTACCTTTTTCAAAGTAATTAATTGAGGGTATAATAGGTAAAATTTTTGTATTTTCTTGATTTGTTAAAATTGACAAGTAATTAGGGACAGGGGGAGTATACAGTAAAACATCACTAAATTAATACTCGGTAAATTAACAATCTCTCTAGAATAATATTTTTCTCCGATTCCGACTTGTCAGTGGAAATAAGCACACATTTCGATAAGATAACAAGACAATATATTTTTAGGAGACTCCTATATAAATATATGATACCATTAATATTTCTTCAAAAGTACAAATATATTTAAGACAATTTAGTGAAATATGATTCTATAGTGTTTTATTTTTTGTTAAAATTTAATTCTAGTTGAAATTCATCTCTAACTTTTGCTGTTGCATCCAAAAGTTTTGGTGTTGTCTTTTTGAACTGCACCATAAAATTGTGAAGAGTTCTAGATGCGATAAGTGTTTCCTTACGCGCGTCATTTGTTCCAAAGGTATTGTATATCATCAACATTGTTTTTTCTAATGATATCCTCTATTTCTTCTAAGCTCTAGACCTCTGAACATGCATTATTTTCAACCAGGTAATTCAATAGGTTATTGACGTTAAGTTCATGAATGATGTTTTCACAAGTGTGTTCATTCAAATTCTCTGAGATTTCATTCTCCCAATGAATTTTGCAGTATTGAAAATAATTTGCTATTGTTTCTTGCTGAACATTTGTTGCCCAAGTCGAGATCGCAAAATTGATTGCATCCAAAACATTAATCTTTCTTGGATCTATTTGTCCCACATCATAGCCTTCTAATATCCTATGATAAAATATGTTCCGATAATGCATCATGAAAGTTCCTATTATTCCAACATTACAAGGTTGAATCTCAAATCCTCTTTTATTTAATGAATATTAATTTATCGATTAAATAATACCTTTACATAATAATAATAATAATAATAATAATAATAATAATAATAATATTATTAATAATAATATTTTATGATCCCACCTATATTAATTTAATGAGGTTTTACTGTATTTTGACACCAACTTTTGACACATATCACCTCTACACATTTCTTGCTTATATTCTACCGTTTGGCCCCAAAAAAATTTGGGGAAAATTTAAGAAAAAATGGAAAGTGTTGTTTGGTCATATAACTTGACAAATATATTTGCCAAGTATCCCAAGTTTCAAAATACTAATTTTTTGGGCTAAGTTCTAATATTTGGAGATTTTAAAAATGTCACGACCCTAGTCTACACCCTGGACGTGGCCGGCACTAGAGAACCATTGTTGGTCCCCAAGCGAACCCTCATCCTGATTGACTACAAGCGGAAGACTAACGCAAGCATACAAAACTTAAAAACTAAATAAAATTCATGAAACTTATCAATATTTAACTCAAATGAATAACTCTGAATAAAAATAGAATATTCAACTAGCCAACAATAGACAACTCAAGTCTTTAATACATTTAATAAGATAAATGAAACATACTTCTCAAACTCTACTATCTATCTATGAAGCCCCTAATTGACAAATATGGAAGTCGGCTTGTCCCACGACATCCTAACAACTGATATAACTGAAAAGTAAATGAAATCCTCCGAAAGCAAGGAGGCTCACCATAGCTAACTCGAACTCCATGTGGTATCAACGAAGCTCCTGTTGATGATCCCGTACCTGAATCTGCATCATGAAAGGATGCAGGCCAAATGGCTCAGTACATGAAATGTATAAGCATGTAAGGGGAATTCTAAAGTATAACATAAGCTTGAAACTTGATAAAAAAGGGAAACATACTTACCTCTTCTCAAACTTACTCAACTCAAGAAATACTCAAAACTACTCAAACTTTTTCAACTCAGAAGTACTCAAGGATAAGATAATCAATTCAGTAATAAAGTTCTCAACTCAGTGAAACTCAACAATAAGGTACTCGACACAATGAAGCATAGATCAACTCAAGATACTCAACTCGATAGACCCAACTCATGATACTCAAGGATAAAGCAATAGTAAAAGATGTAATATATATGGAAAGTTGTAAAACTGTAGATAGTAGCTCAATGTATTGAAAAATACAATAATACTCAATGTGTATATAAATATACAATATAACTCTGTGGGAGTTTCTCTAACCGACAACAACCACTATGAGCCTAAGTGATGATACAACATCTTGCCCACGCTGCCAGAACTGTCCTATACTTTGCCATCATATAGAACGCCTTAACTAAGTGAATTCACTAGTCTATGCTAAAAAGCACTTATGAGTCATCTAAAAAGTATGATCCTTTCTACCCATGATGGCTACATGGTTTATTGAGACTTGAGTTATTATGAACTCAAGTCCCATATCGGTGCTCAATACTACTCCCAAAATATACTCAGCTCATATGTTTTAAAAACATAACTCTTTCTCTGATTTGAGATAATTGCTCAAACTACCCTCTTAAAAGAGGTAACTGCTCTTGTAAACTCTTTCTCAAAAACACATCAAGATCAGAATTTACTATGATCATTGATGACTCAGGAAGTCATACTGCATAAAAATTGATATTATATCTAGATATCATACTGCTTAAACATTGATGACAGGCTCGATTGTCATACTAATCATGTTTTAGAAACTCTTCTCAAAACTCATCTTTTTCTTAAAAGAGGTAGTACTCAAACTGTTCAAAACTCTTTCGGAAATCTCAGTTTCCTCTCATCTTAAATGCAAAAACGTTATTCTTGGGAATACTTAGTTCCCATATATCATTTTAAATAAAATGAACTCAACTCTACTCAGTGCTCAAGTCTTTAATATAAGTTTTAAAATAATTTGTAAAAAGACTTCTTAAAATAAGGTTTATGCCGAATTATGGACATGAACGAATCAATTCAAAGTTCTCAATAACTATGCATAGAACTCAATACTTGGATCTCAACAACTCCAGAACTTAAGGAGTCAACGATACTACTCATTTCAAGAGTACTCAACTCAGAGGGTTCACACGGAATTATGAGCATGAACTACTCAACTCAAGGACTCAAAGATACTTCTTATCTCAAGACTACTCGACTTATAGGGTTCATGCGGAAGTTATGGGCTTGAAAAACTCAACTTAAGGGTCAAAATATCAATAAGGAACTCATGTATACGACTCTTCTCATTCTCATACTTACTTACTCAAAACTTAACTCAAATCGATGGTGGATCTCAAAGGATTCACAATAGAAATTTGTCACGACCCGATTTCTCAAGTCATGATGGCACCTACTATAACCCACCAGTAGGTAAGCCACCCCGTAACCCGGAACAACAAGTAATGGGTCTGAGGGTAGAAACTAAACAAGAGTAGGCAAATAACAAATAAACAGGCGGAAGCAAAACAAAAACATATATACAAATAAAGATCCCTCCCAGAACCTGGAAGTCACTAGTACAGAGCTACTAACAAAATGAGTACAGGTCCCAAAAGTGGACAACAGAGACTGGACTGTCTCGAAAGGTAAAAGACAAGTCTATATATACAGATGGAGACTGAAATAGTACAAAATGTCGTGTGCTCACTCCCGTCTCCGGATCAGTCTGCTCCAAGCTCAATCAACGCTGGCTACTAGTGCCCGGACCTGCATCACGAAATAGATACAGAGCGTAGCATGAGTACCAAAACAACCGGTACCCAGTAGGCATCATAGGCCGACTGAACTTGAAAAGTAAAGGCAATATGAAAAGAAGGAATAACACAAACCGAAGTTAAGAACTAAAATCTAACTAACAATGGAATGCACACGAGTGTACAAAGAACTAACTAAAGTAATCTATAAGCTAACTACACCTAACTGGGCCCCCATAAGCCCAGAAGGTACACTCGTGCGCAAGTTAAATAAAAACCCGAACGGACCCCCATAAGCCCGACGAGTACACATAATAACTATAACTAAAGAGAATTGCATATAAGAACCCAAGAACGGAGAACATCGAACCAGAACCTCAACCCCAATTAGTAGAATCTGACAGTACAGAGGCCGGACCTCGAACCAGATGCTCACCAGAAGTACCTAAGTAACCAGTCACAAGTA